GCTAGCCAAAGTAGAAGGGAAAATTTCTTCTCTTCCTCTTAACCACAGGGCTTAAATGACAGCAAAGGACCTTTCTTTAGTTTAGACATGACTGTTTGTTTGCTTTTGTTTGCCTCTCCTTATATGGATAGTTCAGGCAGTTTTATTTCCAGCACTTAAAACATTGCTGAATCTCAACCTGCATGTAAAAATCCTCACTGCCAGGTAAGAACTACTGGGATTTATATACAGACTTGATTCTGTCTTTGGGAAGGGAGAAGCAGTACCTAGTGCAAAAAGGGACCTTTTTGCAGCACACGATAGCACAGACTTTTTCTGGAGGACAGAGCTAGTGGGAGAAGCGAAAAACAACGCGGTTCGCAGAGGCAGTCTGCCACAAGAGGGCTGTACAAACGCCGTCACTAAGGGGTACCAAAAGAGGCTGGAGGTCAACGTGAGCTTTGGAGCAGGAAAAGATGTTAAAAATATATTTATTTTGTTGCAGTTACAGATCTTTGAATAAAGCTTTTATTTCTTGACTTTGTTTCTCCCTTCGTTCAACGGAGAACGAACAGATTTTGTAACACTGCTCTTTGGTCTCAGGAAGTCTGAAATCACACCAGGTAGCATGGGAGATGAAGCAGGGAGACACAACGAGATGGCCTGTGTTTTTTATGCTTTTCCTCACATCACTAATGTTGACCAAATTATTCTTAGACAGCTCTCCTTTCCGTAGTAGCCACTCATGTCTCAGTCGGTAAGAAACCACCTTCCCAGTGTACTGCTAGAGAAGTGCCAGGAACAGAGAATCGCCCCAGGTCTCACATGAGGTCTTTGGTGCTACGGAGAATTGAACATCACTGTCTAAGTCCAGGTGAGACCCTACTCACCAGACCATCTTCCTCCCACAGGCATTGCCAGGTAGACTAGCACATCTAGTACCTGATATTCCTTTGTTTGACTCTAAAATGAACAGCTGTTGGTCGCGAGAGAAGAGATTGAATCTTTAAAGGAGGAAGAGGTAAGGTCTGAGGTCAACAAAGCACTTCAGAGCATGGGCTAAAGCCCATCCCTATTCAACTACCAAGTTAAATAGCGATTAACTGGCTACTTATAATATATATTATATATAATATTAATAATATGATATTATCTGATAATTATTATATATAAAGTTAAATAGCTAGCAAAGCCAATAGAATATGAGATACAGCTAGCAGGTGCATTCCCCAAATTACATCTGTTTAGTACCAAATAGCAATGCTGCTTATAGACCTATCGCCACTCTTACCTTTACCATTATGAATATGGCAGATATTAGCAGCTAATGTAAAGGACCCCTGGACAGCACTAGTCACAGGACACAGTAAAGCCTGATTGGTCCCTACAGGGAAGACACTGAAAATAAGTGAAATGAAGTGACCAGGGCATGATTATTCACCATCTCTCTCAAAATGGAAACTTGGGACACTCAATGATACTACCAAACTGCACATTAGATTTTTTTTCCCCCTCCATACTATTTAATTAAATGGTGAAACCCACCAGTAGAGGATACTGTAGACCTCAGAAGCATAAAACTTAGAGTCTAGACAGCCATTATGAAACACAATGGTTCACGTAGCGCAGCTGCAAAAGCCTGTTAAGTTTACTGAAAAATGATCATAGATCAGTCCTGTTTCTTTCCTTTGCACGCCTGCAACTTTGTTTACAGCCACCGATACTACCAAGGAACTTTTATTCTAGTACCTCAGTTCTTTTATACTATAAAAGCTTCGCAGATGGCTCTGCCAGTCTGCAGTGTACCTGAAACAGTCCTCAGTATTTTGCACTGCCCCTGAACTTAAAAGGTATTTTTTGGTAGCAAAGCACGTCGGGCAGTCGACTGTTCTGATCTGAACCTGAGTGGCGTTTGAGTTGAGCTGGACATGCTGGGTGGGCAGGGAAGATGGGGGGTGGTTTGCTAGGAAAGCGCTCTCCTCCCCTTCCCTTGGAGCTCTGCGACGGCAAGTATAAATTGGCATAGCTACGCTGATAAGAGAGCTTTCTTTATGCCAAATATTTAGCCTGCTCAGTAGAATGGGTTTAGTCCTTCTTTTTTAAATGTGCTGCTCAAATCAGCACTGTAAGACCCGAGAGCCTCAGTGGATCTGTTTATCTCCTTTGGTCAGGTGTGCTGCGACCACGAAGCGCCTCTGCTGGTACCTTCCAATTGTTAGGCATTTCTCTCCAAGTGAAGCAAGCAGCCCCTTACTCTCTCCCATTGATGATGAGGACCTTCCTAATAGTCCTCATGCCTTTCATAGCTCATTTTCCCTGTTAGACTCCAAAATGTACTGGGGGCTCCAGTTACCCAGACACTGGAAGAATGATGGGATGGGTAGCTAAGGCACTAGGAACATCAGAAAAACTCTTCCTTATCCTCAGAGGGTGCACAGTGACCTGCAATGAAAAAAGGACAAGAGGAAGGACAGTCCCCCAGGAGGAGGGCTGAGGTGAAAAAACAAGGAGTTTTATAACTTGTGGCCAGGGCTAGGACATAAGTACAGGCTAACTGTCTGCAAGCTGCACAGAGATCAACCCTCTCCACCCTAGCCCATTCTTTAGGTAAGGACATTCATTTTCTGTATCCTTGAATAGCACCACACTCTGTCAAGGACAGATAGACATCAGAGTAGAACTATTAATTAAGAATACCAAATTAATCCCCCATCCCCCCTCGCCCTTCCCAAGCTCTTGGCACATCCTCCGCGACTGTGAAATATCACCTTCATTAAAAAAAAACAAAAAAAACACTCTGCCATAGACTGTGTGATTTCCTGCACGTAATCCTTTCTACATCAGAAAAATTACATGGGCGTTATTAAATTCACGATTCTGTCCCTTTAATCGTTTATATGATTTTTAAAGTTTTAAGTTACCACAGTTAAGCAGCTAAAACACTGTAAAATCAGGTGGAAACTCATTACTGTTTCACAATCATAAAAAAAAATACGCATTTATACAGATGTTAAGTAGGGGCGGAGCATGCAAAGCTTTATCTTTCCATGATTTAAATCCCGGGCTGAGTTCAGTTTGGAAATTACACCGGATGGATTCCAGCGGGCAGCTCAAGGTCATCTAAATACCGTGTTCTGGTCCAAACTGTAAGCATGATCATGACGAACCACACAAAGCCATCAACAGAAATTTAATACGCTGCCAGATACTCGGCGATCTTCGGAAAGAGCTCTTCAAATGTTTCTTACCCTCTAGTACCAGGACGCAAATAGCTCTTGTTTAAAAGTGATACAGTAGGAACTCAAGCTCTCTCTGCATGTAGATACCTTAGGCAAATTGCATTTATGTTGTTGCTCTTTAAACATGCGTTTTACAGGAAGCAACCGCTCATTTGATAGACAGAAACCCTTGTAGCCAGACAGTTCCTTTCTTATCTTCTTATTCTAGACAAGTTCAGAGGAAATCACTTACCTGCAGCTGGAGACAGTACGCTTGCTCTACAGAGCTACGCCAAAAGTATTCTGGATACTAGGTAGCGGAGAGTCTATTAACAAAACAGCTTCTGTGATTCTGTGAAAACACACAGACCAAAGCTTCCTAACCATAGACACCCTCTTTTTCTATTAAAGAAAATCCATTAGAGATATTATGTTATAAAGTGTCACTAATTAGTAATACGTAACTGGATATCAGCTACTCTTCTAACACTATGTGCACTACAGCATAGTGACTTGCTTACAGCCTGCTCCACGCATACTACCAATTTACTTCCGTACCCCAACTCAAGGCGATGGCTTGACCTCTAAAACAGCAGGTCCGCAGCACCTGATATCCAGCCCAGTTATTTTGATGTCTAATTTCTGGCACCCAAGGACAGAAGGCTGGATTCAACATTTAATACCAGAGATGCATCTGTGTCATGAAAATAAAAATGCTCATAGCACACAGAATATTGCTTTTTAAGCATGAAAAGCAACACCATACATTTATAGGAAATAAAGGTTGTTACCCATGTAGCCAAATCTGAATTTACACAGAAGGAAGACTTGCAGTTTCTCGAAAGAATAATGAAAGATACTACTGTTAAGAGCATCCTAAATGCTTGCATTGGGAAGTTTTTTGCTGAGTTGAAGGAATTTCAGCAGTGCTTCTTTGCAAAAGATCAGCTTAATTCAAGATTAAGAAATTAACCAATAAACATATCCAACATAATCAGCTTGCTTATTGCCATATGATCATGAAAACATTAATCTTGTGAAAGAATATGAGTTGCTGTATCTTCATATAATCGGCAATAAATAGGTTAAGATTCTCATCTCAAAGAGTGAAAAATTCACAGACTTCACCTGTCCTTAATGATGGAGAAGACAGAGACTGTATTTTACAGTAGAATACAATGCCGAGTATATCTAACATTTCTTGTACTATTGTATGCACTGTTTTCCCTGCAAAATTAATGTAGCCATTCACCCCTCCCCGACCTTGAGCTATTCTTTGCCCACCTTTCATTACGGTAGCTCCCGTCACCTGGAGTTCCTTCTTCTTCCAGCCTAGAATTTCCCGTACCTCCTCCTCAGCAGCAATGCCCCAAAGTTTGGAAAATGCCAGGTTAGCCAGATCGTGCTAAAGACTAAATTGAACCACAAGGAAACACTACTGCTTGTCCTTGCCATTAAGAAAAATCCATTTTTCACCTCAGACCAAAGCAATTAGCCTTTCCATTAGGATAAGCCCAATATTTCCAATGAAATCCTGTTTTTCCGGAAAACGAAAAGGTCTAAAAGACTAATGGATTAGTTTGCTGAGCCATTACATCTGCTGACTTGAACTAATACTGCATTTCCAATATGCTACGGAAATGATGTGGGAATGAAAAGAATGTTTAATAACATTCTTAACATAGTTAAACTGAGCATATTTAGAGATTTCTGCAAAGATCTGTTAAGGATATCCATTTTTACAAAGGACAGGAACCTTTTATGGATCTTGATGGTGAGACCTCCAAAATCACTTGGAAATTTCAAAATATTTGTTCCTCCTATGACTATTGTATAAACCTAGTACAGAATCTTGCACAGGAATCATTTTCTGCATAGGTCAGGAGAAGGAAGGACAGCTTGTAGCCTTGCAAGGGACAAAAGTGGATACAGAAATTGAAGCATATTTTTAATTTTCTGCTAGTTTCCCTCAAGCAGTAAGGGATTTTTTCCACATGTAGAGAAAACAGCATTCACAGATATATACAAAAGTTTATTTTACAAACAGCAGCTACTTTTGAATAACAAAATTGCAAAGACAAAGACCAACATTAGAAAACCTGCTCAGTGGTGCATCTTCTATTTGAAGAACAACTTAACATAATTTCACTAAGTAAAAAATACTTCCCCCCATCCCTCCCCCAAGCATCTACCAGAGTGAATTCCTTTATAAAGCTTATAATTTGAGATATGAAATAGACATTGGTAACATTGCAATACGTTTGGACAATTACAATTATTGGTTAACATTACTTTTATTTCACTACCTTTTCCCAGCCTTAAAAGTAAATAAAAAAAAAATCAACTCTGATTATCCAAAACATGGCAAAACCAGATTATGGAGCTTTTTTATTATTATTTGAGATAAAGTTGAATGGCAATACTTATATTTTGTATACTGTGTTACACCACTAGCCCACTACTGCTACGTTCTCAATAAGGGGAAAAACAAGTTATTTCTGCCCTTAAAACTATAATACTGCCACAAACATAAGTATCTTGAGTTAGCAAGGAAATATTTATTCAATACTCTAAATGGCTGCTACTCTGTTAGAAAGATGTGTATAAATGCAAACTGACTTGAGTAATGCTTTGTAACATTAAGCACATTTATAAGAAGTCTACAAAATAGTGATTTAGTAAAAGGACTACACGAGCACACTTTTTCATTGAATTACAAGGTAAGAAAGGGTTTAAAGGATCTATATGTGCTCCTTCTGGATTTATTTGGTTTCTTTTGGAAAGCAGAATGAGAGTTGTGTCAGTTTTAGTACCCCGTGTATAGATGTCTTATTCAGCTTTTCATGGATATAGACATAGGGCATCCTTAAGTTTCCAACATTTATTTTGAGCTTTCTTCGCATGTTTCAGAAGGGCATCAAAAGCTAATTTTTGGTAGTTTAATGCAATCACAAAGGGAGTAAAAATTGATGTTGAAGGGAGAAATTACCATTTTTACTTCTCAAAGCTCCCAGGTCCTGCTGAGATTTTTTTTTTTTTTTTTAAAAAGCCAAAACCAAAAACAAGAAAACCCTTATTTTCACTATTTCAAAACATCTGAGAAAACTAAAGCATGTCAAGATATTACAGAAAGTCAGTAATGAAAGCTATAACACAACCATACTCATTAGCTCTAATAAAGCTATGTTAGCCTGTTTTTTTCCACTACAGACCCCACTTTCCCGAGTGCATTATGCCATTAGAAAAAAAAAAAAACCCTGCTTCTTAGTATACAACTTTCTAAACATTGAAAAAACCTTTAAAAATGATTTTAAATCAACTGAATCAGAAGATTGCAAAAATTACTCAATGCTTTTCGGCTTTAAAACTACACTTCTGCAAACCATTTATCTGTAATGGGAAGCCATTTTTGGTATTAAAGTTTACTTTGAAAGTACTGTGCATGCTTTTTATCAGGCATGTCAGTATTTTTATAGTCATATCACTTGAACAACATTTAACTCAATACCTGTGCAATGCTATTCCCTACGACAAATGGGATACCTCTACAGACGTTTTATAAAGGAACCATTATGGTTTATTTTCTCAATAAATTTTCTCAAAAATTATTTTCACTTAAGTGTTTAAAAAGTGTTTTGAACAAACTCATGATAGCCTCAACTGTTTACAAGTCAACTTCAAACTCTGTTGAAGTATGCCAAGCACTAATATGAACGGAAACAGAACCATTTGGAAACACTTTTTAAACTCTTCAGAATATTGTTATTTATCACAAGATTCACTTTAAAATATCCGGGTTTAGACAAGTTGGATATTAAGATCAAAACTGACTAAATACACTGTTTCTCACGACTTGTCAGTTTTACAATACCACGGTGTGTAGTATTCTCACCTTCTTCTGTAGACTTTTGTAATATCACAGTACAATAAGAATTAAGACAGAGTGGCAGTCTTTGCTTTCATCACCTAGCTGTTGTATATATACACACTATATAATGTTACAGTCAATACACAAGACGGCATGGAACCCATCTTCCAACATTTAAAAAAAATATTTTAATAAACTACAAATGACAACCTTTGTAAGAAGTTTTCTTCACAGTTTTATAGTTGCTAGCATATATTTAATAGTAACAGGCTGAAAGCCCTAGGGTGTTTATATAAAGATACCTAAAGACAGTACAGGTTGCTGCACCCACAAAAGCGGTGTCAGTAAATTCATATAAGTGTCATTCATGGCTTGGAAAATCCGATTCAAGGAAACAAAATTCTTTCCTATTTTGTAAAAGTTACATTTGATATAAACACAGCTGAGTTGAGCTCAGTACTCTTCTCCATAGGTACATGAGTTCACTGCTAAATGGTAAAGTTTCAGCTCGCTCAGCAAAAACCCTTCAACTTCACCTGTGGCACTGTCAAAGCAGCTTTTTTGTTTTTATACAACACTGAAAATTCTTAAATACAATTTCCATCGTTAAAGAAACATTTTCAGCTATATCTGCTGCTTTCACTGGGACTTCGGTTGTTAGAGTAACTGCGATCACTTTCACTGTCAGAGCCATAAGATCTACAAAGAAAAGATGAAAATGCCTCAAAATTGTATGTTGTGCTTCAAATTCAACATTTTATCATGTCAAAAAAAATTGTCAAGGGACAGACACATAGGACAAGAAGAAGAAGTCTTTTATAGGATCACATTTTATGTAACTGAAATATACCTTAAAGGACGCTCAAAATCAAAATAATTATATTTACTTGATGAAATCTCTGTGTAACTGAAGACAGACTGTGACTGTATCTACAAGGCCTCTTGTTTTCTTCAGTACAGCTTCAGTCATTCACAATAACTAAGTTTTGTTAAATACTAAGAGCTGACAAACATATTCTAAAAACATACTTTTGTATTGCAAGTGTTTCTCAAATAAAATGATTCTACAACTCCTTATTTTATATATTGCAATTTTCAGTGTGAAGTGTCTATCAAATTAGGCTGCAGAACAGCAGAAGTGAGTGAGCACATGAGGAGGGTGGAAATAGCAGATTAAAATGTTTTGGCTTATCTAGACCAAAAGAATCCTAAACTCAGCACCTGGTCAAGCATCAAAATACAGTCCAGGTCGTTTCAGACAAGTCACAGGACATATACAGATTACACAGAATAAACTTTCATTAGAAGTTTTCTAGTCTCATGCCTGTAAGGACAGCTTTTTAGATGAAGGATGAGCCTACCATAATCCAGCCCTGTTCCTCTGAAGCTTCGCTATATCCTAAAACAATGGATTTTGTATGCCTGTTCCCACACTCCTCATTAATCTCATTAATTTTCCCCTCAAGTACGTGAGGGGAATTGTCAACGTCAGAACTAGATGGGGAAATAGGTAGGGGTGAAGTCCTCTGAGTTGGCACAAAGTTGCGAAAGAAAGAGCATGAGGACAGCAGAGCACACAAATTAACATTGGTGTTACATATCTGTCCTATCTACCACCGAGTAATAAGGGACATATTAAAAGGTACAAAATGAATCCTCACTGAAGTTCATCCACTGTATAAAGATCATACTCCCTTTTTGAGCTCTGTGAAACATGCCCACTGACAGCTGTGGTAACTCCTCTGGACTGTGAAGGATAATTTATCCTAAATTTATAGGATGGAAAATGGTAGAAACAATGCTATCAGCAAGGCGCTGCATTTGCGGATAAAGGCTCTTCTGAAACATGTTCTAGGAAGTTAAAAGTTAATTCTAGATAACACAAATTTTTGGTTTCCCTTCCAGTAGTGTGCGTGTTTTTTTTTTTTTAATCTATTTTTGCAGTTCAGTCAAGAAGAACTCACCGTCCAATGGAATTCTTTGCATACCAGGTAGCCTTTAATCCATAACAGGGCACAAAATTTTAAGTGCTTTTTAATCCTACAATGAAGTAGCTCCCAAGATTTAAATCAAAAGCAACATTTTAAAGTACTATGTGCTTATTTTGAACTCGTGTGGATGTATACACAATGAACTGAATAAAAGAGGATAACGTGTTGGTGTCGTCTTAAATCCTTCTTCCCCTAGCTTCTTCTCCACTCCCAGTTTGACATGTCAGACATCCTGATTTAGTCCTCCTCACTCAAACACTTCATCTACTTCTAATTTTTTTTTTTTTTTTTTTTTTAATTTACACCTTTTGGTAAAAATATATTTTTGTGCTTGGGGAAAAGACGTCGAGTCTTTGTAAGACTAAGTATATACTTAGCAAATTCTTTTGCATAGAATGATGCCAGTAAATAACATACCTAGATCGTCTGTCATAACTTCTAGATCTTCGATAGCTGTCACTCCTCTTACTTCTACTTCGACTTCTGCTGTAGTAACTATCATAAGTGTATGACCTACTTTAATAAACAGAGAAGGAAGTCATTGTAGATTTACAATTCCTTAACTAAAAGGTGTGTTTTAAGGACATTTATATGAAAACACGAGAGTTACTATATAGAAATTACTCTTGAAGGATTTGGCAAACCAAATAATTTTACATTTTAAAGAAGTTTAAATACAAGCATCTTCAAAACAACAGCAAGAATAAACTCAAATTTATTAACCTAGAAAAGACTTACTAAGCATTTAAAGTTTTTATTTTCTCTACAAATTGCGCATTAAGTAAACAACTTGTTTGCTAATACTCCTGAAAAAGTGATTCCATTTATAACTCACACAGTAACAAAAAAAGGGGAGGTATTCAGTACTTTTCATCTCATATCATCTCCTAACACTGCAATACCACGATGATTTGCTTATTTTCAACTTCTAAAAGAATCTCACTTGTGTTAATTTTGCTTTGATTTTACTTATGACAACATGTACTTGTAAGTACCAAACGCAGGGGCACTGTTATACTAAGATATTTTTATAAAGCATAGTTATTTCAGAGTCAGTACAGAAATGCAATCCATACCTGGATCGACTGCGATGACCGTAAGAACTACTTCTGGATCTACTTCTCGTATAGCTTCGACTGGCAAACAAACAAAACCACAAACAGACATTTTAAGTTAAATCAAAAATAAGTGCTGAATGGGGGGATAGAGGGAAAGAAACATGTTTTGCTCAGAATTCCTTATCCATACTGCAAAACATGGAATAAAATTATTCTTCAGTAACAGGAAATTCCAAAATCTGACTAGTCTCACTTGCGCATTTCAAATAGATGCCTCAGTCTATAGTGCACACAGCTAAGCACAGCACATTTCCAACTCACTTAGAGACTTAAGCATCAAATTTCTGTGCCTGATTTATTAGGATTGGGGTGTATGCTGCAGCTATCGCCAATGAGAGACACTTACCTGCGACTCTTATAACTGTGGTAAGAACTACTTCGGCTTCTTGACCGATCTCTACTATACCACCCTCTGCTTCGGCTTCTTGTATAGCTTCTCGATCTATAATTGATAAACAATTTTAAAAGGTACATATTGGAATATAGCTGAAGCAAAGAGCAGCAGAAAACAGTAAGCAGCATAGAGGTTTATCTCTTAAACTTAGCATTTATTCCATTGTTGCTAAAAAATAGTGTTTTTAAAAGAAAAACAGGACTTGAGACAGGACAGACACGTTTTAAAAATATGGCAATCTTCAAATTAACATGGTAGACTGCGAGAACAAAACCACAAGTGTCTTACCTATAGGAATATGTAGAACTTCGTGATCGACTTCTTGAGTGACTGTAAGATATGGATCTTGTTCTGTGTCTGGATTTAGATTCAGATTTACTTCGTGACCTACTAAGACTCCTGGACGGGCTATTGTCATCTCTACTTGGAGATTCTTCCTCACTGGAACTTTCTTGGTTCCTTGGCCTTCGATTGAGCCGTGCTGTTTTTCTAACTTCATCAAACAGAGATCCAGGCCTTACTTTATTCTTAGCTTTTATTTCAATTCTTAAACCTGCTGGCTTTGGCTCGGGAGCTGAAACTGCATTCTTAACTTCTGTGGTGGCACTAACAGTAGCTGGCTGTAAGTTACCAACACCTTGCAAAGGCTTCCATTTATTATCAATCATGTTACTTTGTGTATTTTCAGTTATTTCACTTTTTAAAGTGCTGCCTTTAGTACTAGACACTGGGACAGAATGATTTTCTTCTCTTCCTACTTCTTTTTCTTCTTTGATTTTAATCAAGTCTGTAATATTGTTTCCTAGTTTGACAGCATCTGGTTCAGGGGTCTCAACCGGTACATCTTTGTTCACACCACCACTTAAAGCCTGGGGTTTAGTGCTGAGGATGACAGGCGACAAAACATCCATGACCACCTTCCCCGGTGAGTTACGATCTGGAGTACAAATTTCCATGTTGTCATCTGTCTGAATAACATCTTCCAGTCCGTTTTGATTGTTTTCTTCAGTATGTTTAATCTCGTTCTTGGAACCAGTCACATTTATACCCGAGTTTAAAGTACTGGGGGAAGCGTTTGGTTCAATGCTGTCTTTATGAAGGTCACTGTGATCTGGTGAGGTATCACATGTAGTGTTTTTACCTAAGAAGTTTTCATCCACACAAGACTTTTCACCATTTCCCATTACATGTTTGAGCGTTTCATCGTGTTCACAAGCGTCTTGTTTTTTATCTTTTATATCCCTGGTAAGTCGCTTTTCTTTATCATCCTTGGTAACTGGCTTTTCATTTATGTCATCATCCTCCTCTTCACCAAACTCCAGTGGGGGCTGCCAATGAAACATTTCTTTTCTTTTCTGAACTTTGTGTTTCTTCTCTTTTTTCCCTTTTGATTTTTCTTTTGCCTTTTTGGAATGTGATTTTTTAAGAGTTTTTTTTGATCCATGTTTGTGTTTCTTTGACTTTCCTCTAATATTTGTTGAGCTAGAATGAGAAGCCTCGGATTCAGAAGAGGACAATTGTTGTTTGCTTGCCTTCCAAATACAATCAGAATCCAGAAAACCTTCTGAAGCATTTGATTTTGTTTTTGTCCTTTTGGTAGCACTAAGCTCTGTATCAGATCCTGATGTGGCCTCTCCTTCCTCTTTACCAGATGAGGGTCTGGAATCTCCTCTGTTATGCCTAGCGTCTCCTCGTTCTGAATTGGACTCAGAGTCCCATTTACTGCCTGAATAGGATTTTCGTTTAGTTTTTGCACCACCTCTAGATTGCTCAGAAGATTTCTCCTGAACAGCTTTCTTCTTAGAACGACCAGTATCTTGTTCACACTTTGATTTCTCCTCCCCTCTCTCAGAACTTAAGTTATTTTTGTCCTGTTTCTGAGCATCTCCTTCTAATTGAAAATGGCCTTCTTTTTCTTGAACTACTTTTATTTTGACAGAATGCTCACTATCAGTAGAAAAGTCTGAAGATGATAAACTGTCACTCTCTTTTAAACCTTGCGAAGATTCATCATAGTCTTTAGTACATTTATAAGGGAGAGTACCTTCAGAGCTAGTTTCTTGCCTTATTTTAAGGGACCGAGTGTTTTGCTCCTTGGATGCTGATTTTCTTTTGTGTCTGGGTCTATCATCACTACTAAGGGAATAATAAGATGTTGACTCACTGTAACCTGACCTGTCACTGCGGTATTTACTCAGTGATGGTGATCTGCCAGAAGAACGGGATTTCGTTCTTGAGCTAGATGGACTTCTTGATCTCGTATAAGATCTTGAGTATGACCTACTTCGAGAGGATCTGCTTCTTGATCTCAGCCAACTATCCGAGCTTCTATCGCTGTGATATTTGGAATAACCACTTCGATCACTGTCTGAACTCCTTTGACGCTTACGGTAGGAGGAAGAAATATTAGCCTCTTTAATAATTACTAAATTATAATTAGTTTGTGTGGGCACTAGATGGGTTGTTTTAGCTTTCATTTCCTGAATTCGCTCATAAGATGGCTTCCACGGTTTCTGTCCGGGTTTCCATCTTGAAGGTGGTGGGCTATCACTTAACGGTATAACAGGGAGGTTTTCTGGGACAACTGGTGGTACAACAACTTTATCACTTGGTAGTATAACTGCTCTTACAGGGTCAGTAGTCTTGTTCAACTTATTTTCGTTTAATCGAGTTGAAACATTTCGTGGCGAATTGGAAACTGTCTTTTGATGCCTAGAGTTAGAGCTTGATCTTGATCTGCTTCGAGACCGTGATGATTTAGAGGCTGATCTCGATCTAGAACTTCCTCGGGAATAAGATCTTGATTTAGACCTAGATCTGGACCTGGACCTGTAGTATGACCGAGTCTCTCTGCTTGATAAAGTTGATGAACTCTGATCTTCCTTGTCAGATTTAGACCAGTCTCTTCTGGATGAATGCCTAGAAGACGACGAAGATGAACGAGATTTCCTCTCACGATCACAAGATGATTTTGTCCTCCTGACGAAGGAATGAGAGGATTCCACATCTGATGATGGTGATGTTTTCTTTTTTTTAGTTTGCTTGTGCTTCTTGAAATGCTTTTGCTTTTTTGATTTCTTTTTATGTTTCACTTTCTTTTTCTCTTTTCTGTGTTTTTTGTGATGGCTAGAATATCTCACAGCATTTAGATCAGAATAGCCATTATGCGACCAAGATCTCGATCTCCGGGATGCACTCCTTTCATCCCATCTGCTTGTACATGGGTCACTCAACCTTAAAAAATAAACAAACAAACCCCACTAAGTTTAAATTCTTTTTTAAAAAAAATTCAAGACGACTAAATATTTTTCTTCTCCAAGCAATTAATAAGGTTTAAAAACTATTTTAAAATCCCTGTATTTGGTAGCAGACAACTGTGTTTCAATTGAGCTTGTTACACTCATTTTAAGATACTGAATTACACCACTATCGAGAGGGCTATGTCTTGTCTGTAAGAGACAAGTTATCTAACATCAGGAAATTTTGCATACTGTAGAACCAATGTAGGGAGATTTTGACTTAGTCCACAGAATTACACCTCTGTGCTTATGGGTTTCATAAATGATGCTTAAATACAAATTTAACATCATCTTATTTAGAATTCTTTTAGCTGGTATGTCAGAATACATCAATAAACTAAAGGAACTCTGTATACAAAGTGGTTTATGACAAACATTTGTAATTATTCAACAGTTATTGTATAGAGTCTCTTTCAGCTCTGCCCTTGGGGTTTAGCTATCACACTTTTGATACAAGCTCACATTATTATCAAGTCATCTGAATTTCTGGAGAGGTTGGCTCCCACTAGAAAAATTTATAACTGTAGAAAGAACAACTAATTAAAACTTAATATAGAAATGGCAGATTCATCAGTCTAATTTGGTATCCAAAGAAACCAGATAACCAAGTTTGATGCTAAAGGAAATTTGACATGACTAGCTCAATAGAAAGTCACAGGCAACTGGACAGGTTTCTTCTTAAATAAGTGCCTAAGATGGCACTATCAGAAACCAACTATTCTGACCTCCTGATAGTTTTCAGCATGTGTTCAGCTAGCGTTACATCAGCAGCAAAGTAGAAAGGTTTTAAGAAAGTTTTCAGTTTCTAATGCTCTGAATTTAAATGGAACACATTAGCTACAAAGATCCTTCTACATGTTTTTGTAAACAACAAGAACGACAAAGTACATATGCATAATTTAAAGTCTATGTAAATATCAAGACATTTTAAATTTGTGTTATGGATCTTACTTATCGCCTTTACTCCACTTTTCTCCACTAGGTGGTCTATACATTCTTAATCTCTGCATTTCCTCTTTCCAGTGGGGAGGCGTCTCACTACTCTCATCATCATCTGATTCAGAACATGACCGTGACCGAGGTGGAGTGTGATATCGCTACGAAAATAGAGAAAGGTAGTTATATGTTTATCTTCAAAGGAGACTGGGTAATACAGAAAGTATCTGGTGCCTCTTTTACAGATTTTGCATAACACTAGCCAGACAACTTCATCCACTTATTTCCACATAAAATCCACAAAGAACATGGAAGTTTTGAATTTCCTGTTTAAAAAAAAAATCCACTTTTCATATGCACATCTTACATATTTGAAATGAGATTATGTGGTGAACAGTATCTTTTTGTACTGTGAGGTCATTTCTCAAAGCACCAAATTGAGAAGGGCCAGCTATCCCATCTTTTCAAAATGGGAAAGGAAGAGTCGATCATCTTCGAGGAGATGGCCATGGATTCCCTTTAAATAACATGTTCTGGAGTAACACAATCACTGCAGATAACTAACCAATTTTTCTTCAGGATATTAATACACAGAAGTCTCACTTCACAGTTAACAGACACTTAGCTGCCTGCACATTTAAAGCCAAGCTCTGCTTCAAAAGTAACTGCTGTTCACCCCTTCAGGAATGTGCATCCAGTTTTGCTCCTCCAAGCAAAAAAGGTCTCACAAAAATGCAAATGAAGCTTCATGCTAAAATTTGATATTTAGGCACAGCAATCAAGTAGGCTGTAAGAGCTATTTGTGCAGCAGCAGAACAAACTTTAATATTGCTAACTCATTATTTTCCATTACCCAGTTGGAAATGCACTTAGATAACTCGTATGAGGAAATTAAATGCTCCTTAACTCAATTAACAAAGCAGAGAAACCTCTGGATTTTGCTCAATTATTTTAAGCCATTTAGAAAGCAAGTAATATGTAAAAAAAAACAAGACTGCCCACTAGATTATAAACAAAGATCCATGTATTTAGTTTATACAGAATTCAGTTCACCACAGGTAAAAGCACTTATGACTTTATTCTGTTTATATAAAACACTATAAAGAAAACTTGCCACAGAGACTTGCAACTTCCCTATCCTTTGAGTAAAGCAATGACTACTTAAAACAAAGCAAAAAATCCCCCCAAAACAAAAAATGTCCTCAAAATACAGCTTTGACAGATGAACAGCTTATAACAAGCTACTAAGGTTTCAAGGACCTCTCTAATTTTTTTCAGGTTGTACTAAAGAGTTTGCTTTCAGAACCTAAGAGGATCCAAAACTACAGATAAGTATCTTAAACACCACACAAGTTGGCCCTGGATAGAAACTGCTGCTAAATAGAGCATTAAATACAGTAGAAAATGCGTTGCTTAACTAATTGCCAGCTCTAAGTTATTTCTGATATTATGGGTTTTCATTCTTAATTTTGACAAGAAGGTACCAAAAGTAGGAAAAAAAAACAAGACATAGATACCCAAAACCCCTGCAAAAGGGAATTTAACTTAACTTTCAGGAAACCACACACCAGTCAGCCTCATCTCCATCCCTGGAAAGGTGATGGAGCAACTAATCCTGGATACAATTTCTAAGCACAGGAAGGACAAGGTGATCAGGAGTAATGAGCATAGATTCACCAGAGGGAAGTCATGCTTCATCAACCTCAAAGCTTTCTCTAATAGAATGACGGGCTGGATAGATGACAGGAGAGCAGTGGATGTTGTTTACCTTGATTTCAGCAAGGCTTTTGATACTGTCTCCCATAACATCCTTGTAGACAAATTCATGAGGTATGAGTGGGATGAGCAGACCTCCACTCCAAAAGGTGAACTGAAAACTGGCGAACGGCAAAGCTCAGAGAGCCACGGTAAGTGGCACTAAGTCTAGCTGAAGGCCACTAGCCAGCAGTGTCCCCCGGGGGGGTGATACTAGGGCCTATACTGCTTAACACCTTCATCGTTGACCTGGGTGACTGGCCTGAACGCACCCTCAGCAAATTCACAGATGCTACACAACTGGGAGGAGTGGCTGACACAGCAGAGGGCTGTGCTGCCATTCGGAGGGACCTCGACAGGCTGGAGGGATGGGAAAACAGGAACCGCAGGAAGTTCAACAAAGGCAAGTGCCAAGTCTTGCTCCGGGGGGGAGAAATAACCCCAGGCACCAGTACAGGTTGGGGGCCGACCTGTTGGAGAGCAGTCTGCGGAGAACGACCCGAGCGTCCTGGTGGCCGACAGGTTGACCACGGGCCAGCAACGTGTCCCTGTGGCAAAGGGAGCCAACGGGATTCTGGGCTGCATTAGGCAGAGCATTGCCTGCACGTCGAGGAGGTGATCCTTCCCCTCTGCGCAGCTCTTGGGGGGCCACACCTGGAGTGCTGTGTCCAGTGCTGGCCTCCCCAGGACAAGGCAGGCATGGACCTGCTGGAACAGGTCCATAAAGATGAAGAAGGGGCTGGAGCATCTCTCATACAAGGAGAGGCTGAGAGAGCTGGGCCTGTTCAGCCTGCAGAAGACAAGACTGAGGGTATCAAGAGGCCAGGGCCAGACTCTTCTCAGTGGTGCCCAGTGACAGGACGAGAGTCAGTGAGCGCACACTGAGAGAGGAAATTCCCGCTGAACATAAGAAAATGCTTCTCTACTGTGAGGGTGACAGAGCCCTGGAACAGGTTGCCCAGAGAGGTTGTGGAGTCTTCAAACTTGGAGATACCGAAAATCCATCTGGACACAGTGCATAGCAACTTGCTCTAGGTGCAGCAGCTTGAGCAGGGGTGCGTGGACTAGAAGTGTGGATAAAGGTCCCTTTCAACCTCATCCGTTCTGTGATTCTAACTTTAAGCTAGTTTTCCAGAAGGTTTTCTTTTCTTAAGAAAAAAAAAACAAAAACAAACCCACCCCCACCCCCCCCCCCCCCCATCGGAACTTTCCCTTTCAAAGGTTTCCTTTCATGGATTATCACAACTATCAAACACATATGAAAGCTGTTAGATGCAGAAAGGCGGACACATAGGCATAGCCTCTGAGGATAACTATCATATTTAACGTCAAGGCTAGCAAATAAGGGAATAGGAGGCTCTCAGATGAGGCCCAAGCACTAGAAATTCTTTGTTCCATGTTAGAGCTATCTAAATCATTGGTTTTATGTATTAAAATCTTTGTATCACAGGAACCAGTTGGAAAGCATTCCACAATTCCATTGACTATGATGTAAGAAGTATAATGCTTTGAGGAGCTCAAGTTAAGCCTCTTCTAATGAAAAGTGTCTTAAGCTATGCTAGTAGACAGGACATCTGCACGTGAGGACATACATAGTATCTGAGGACTCTCACTTGTAAAGATGACTCTGCAGCACCAAGTCTTCTACAGCTTATGGCTACCTAAACGCCACCTGCTAAAGTGACCTATGAAAGAGTTCTTAAGGGGAGGAATATGCTCATTCATGGCATTCCACATTTAAAATACGTCAGAACCAAAAGCATATTAAAAAAAATCTTACTTTTGTGTTTTTCAGTAGAAGAAGGTAACAGTGTACACTGAAAAGTACATAGACTGAAAAAAAGAAAGCAACAGTATAGTCGTGCAGTGTTTCGGGCCTTGTACTGTGGATTTATTAAAGAGGATACAAGAAAACTTTTGCTTGACAACAGCGGCACTAATGCAAAAGCAAAAGTCTTCACAATACCAAGTTCTTAAGTGCAAATGAAATCTACATAACAGCAGCAGTCTTTGCAGAGAAAGTTGTAAAAACTGGATTGAGTTTGTGCACCTGGGAGGAAAAAGAAAAAAAGAGAGATTCTTTTCTACTAGCGTTAGCAAAAAGTAACTTCTTGCCTGTACAGTGTCATCTAAGAAATTACATGAATTTGATCTCAGCATTGAGAGCAGATGAAATTTGGCAAACCATACTACACTATATAGGTAAGAAAGGGAAAAAAAATTCACCTAAAATGAAAAAAGGAAAACAGTTTCAGTGATTCTGCTAATATTGACAACAAAATTGCTTTTGCCCAGCAACATATACACAATCATCAGAAGGTGCAAATGCCAGAACTGGAGAGAGAAGCAATATACATCAGAACAGGTTGTATACTTTCATGACACTGTAGAACAGCCATATCTACTGTTACGCTTTACAGTGCAAAGGCATATTGAAAGTAAGGAAATCCAATGAGCGAAGAAGAGTTGAAGCTCTCATCATTCCTCATCGCTTCAGATCTTGTGGCTTGTCTGGGATGAATTTGGCTGAATTATTTTCATTCTTTAAATGAGAATTTTAATCTTTTGTTTTAAGTTCTCATAGCTGAGGAGTAAGCTTCTATTTTCCCAAACAGTCTTCAGGTAAGAGGACATTAATAAGAAGGACATAAGAAAAAGCATTATAAAATTAACTACTTTTCAACCTTCTAAGCTAGAATCTACAGCACGTCAACAACAGTTAAGGGTTGACAAAGGGTCAACAAAGCCTTCAAGAGGTCAGAAAAGGGGTTGGGAGAGAGAAAAGAATATACACATACTATTGTGCCTCTTCCTTTAATTTTTCGTCCCGATTTAGAGACTGATGGTTTCTGGTCAGTCACAACTGGCGCAGCATCGAGAAGCTTCCTAAATACATTAGTAAAATATGAACTTAAGTGCAAAAAGCCATATAAAGTTTTAAAATAATCTGCTAAGTTTAAGTTAAGTTATTCAGACAAAATATTCATCTTAAGTTTTGATATAACGGAACTGAGCATTCAGTGAATGGTATTCTAAGAAAAAAGCAAGCAAGCAACGAACAGTTCTGCAATGAAAGGCAAAACAATACATATTGGTCTTCATCCACCTGCGTTGACTATCTGACATCCCTATATGACAAATAAATGCTAACAACAAAGTCTGCTGCTAACTTTGCTGAAGTACTGCATGACTCTTCCAAAGATGTTCATGATTTGTCTACCAATCACAAATTAACATGACACCAACAGAATAGTTTCTGAATCTCAGCAGTTACAGAACAGAAGGCCAATAAGAGCCCTAGATAGCCCACAACTTTTAAAGGCTTGCTTCTTTCCTAAGCAGCAAGAGGCAATTCAGCATTCCTTCTTATATGGTTTGTTTAACAGGCTTGAAAAAAGCAGATAGAGACTCCAAAGACATAACTAAAGTATCATTTTAAAAAAAGGCTTACAGGAGAATACTCTACCAACTGAAAAAATATGATTTACATAGAAATATAAAAAATAGATTTTAGAGACGGCTGGTGATGTGTTATACTAACTCATCTGACTCCAAAACTGAGGACGTTTTGTAGAAAAGAACACTAACAGAAATTCAGTAGATGTGCAAAGTTCTAATTGAAAATAATTTGCAAACTCTTGGACTTCGTCTCAAAAAACAAGACAAAAAAAACACCAAACATCCTCTCATTCTCAAAAGCCATAAACTGCTTACAAAATTCTAGTTGATCGATTAATTTTGAACCAGAATTTCTCCTCTGGTATAAGGAAGATGCAAAAAATCACCTCTCCAGTTTAAGTTTGCCTTGCAATCAAATATTTGCAGGGTTTTATATAACAGATTTGCTTCCAGAATCACTATGTAATATTTTTGCAACATCTGTATTTAAGGTTGTTACCTGTACAATCCTGAAGGACCAATGAAGCTAACTCATTAGATAAGATTTCACCAAACAAAAAACTAAACCTTATCCAAGTTGAAAAGAAAATTCCAAAAAATTGCAAAAAGGGCAGTTAAATTACCTCATTTAGAACTTCTGACTACAGTCATCATTTGGTTATCAGTGCTAGCAATATAATGTTGGGACAATTTTACTTATAGCGTACGCTACAGAAGCTAACGTAACAAGAAAACTCAGTGTTCCTTACGGTTCAGGTTCTACATTGACAACAGGCACATCTCTTCTTAGCAAAAATCTATTTTCAGGCACTGGGGGAATTTCTTCAGGACGTACCACAGGCTTGTCCCTCTTTGTGCTAATATCGACTGCTTTTTCATTTACGTCGCTCTTGTCAGAAAGGCTGCTATGAGAAAAATAATTTTATAAATCAAAGTTAATTGTCAATTGAGAAAACCACCACTTTTCAAAATGAATTCCCAAAATAAGCCCACATGATGCTTTAAGATGGCTGCAAAACTGAAATGTGTTTCATCATTCACTCATGTACTTTATGCTAACACCTAAAGGGAGGATGGTGCAGCATTATAGAAAAAAGGTTTAGCTCTCACTTTACAGCTACAAATTTTGCTTTGGATTTACCAATTGCCTTAAGATATTTACAGAAATATAATCAATTATAAGAACTAAAGATCTCTTAATTGCATAATGTCTCAACTTCCAACACAGACATACTGAATCCCAAATACTTCAACGTGCCTAGGTGAATTTATTTCAAAGTCACTACTAGCGTCTGCTTACCGAGATCTTAACTGTTTCATATAAAAATTTACATAGCAACCTCAGCTTTAGTTTGCATGTGTGCTTTTTTTCTTAAAAAAAGAAACACATAAAAAAACCACACCTAAAAACCACCAACAACAAAGCCCAAACTTATAGGACACCACCTTCATATTCATTGTGTGACTACTTCATGAAAACAATGCAGTATTTCTCAAATTCCTGTGAAATTCTTAAATTTAAGACACTAGTCACCGTCTTTGGTTTGAGGTTCGCTTGCACCTTGGATCCTCTTTCTTCCTCTCTTCCTTTCTTCGTTTCCTTGACTGTTTAGTTTTAGCTCTTCTTTTACGCTTTCTTCTTCTACTTCTTTCATTTTCCGCTTCACTTTCAGATGAAGTTTCTGAAGAGCTTGATGCACTGGAGGAGGAGTCTGAAGCTTCCGAGTCAGAATATACTTTTCTCTTCTTCTCCAAAGCTTAAAAACAGATAGCATTTCAGTTTTACAGTGTAGACACATTCATATGTGTATTGCGTATACACATATGTGTATTGTGTATGTGTATTGTGTACACAGCACAAAACAAGCAACTATATATGTGTGTACACATATACATACACACACACTGCTCCAGAAAAGCAGTGCACATAGACCACATGCACAGGTTCATTACAGTAAGTACAATAATAAAAATTCCTGTGATTGTGTAACTCTCTCAATGAAATGATGCAAATATTTTTCAACAGAGAGGTCGTGGAGGAATAAAAGTAAAAAAAAAAAAGCCTTCAGCTGCTATCAAGTGAACTATAAAAGCTTCCATCCACAGCTTCTGCTGTGTAAGAAAGTATACCACTACAAAGACAAAACATTTTTCATACACAGTAGGTTCATAGCTGAAATTCAACAATAACATATGCCAATAAAACACCAAGAAAGGCTAATAAATAAGTATAATTTTAAAAGAGACTTTTCCTTCTCCACTCTTCTTCCTTTGAAAATATATTTTAAGTTATAACACTGAATTCATGTTTTGAGGTTCTTCCTAGAATGCACAGATAAGCAAAGACCATTCATAGTAGCAGAAACTGTTGTCCTCTCCTTTTTTGCATCCTTATACTTCTATATTATTTATCCACTGACTCTCTACAGGAGATAAGTAACCACATTAACTTTAAGGGAAGTCAAATCTGGAGTAAAAAACCCAAACTCCTAACAATCCACCAACTCACAGCGACTATCCAAACATACATCAAAGAACATTTATTCCCTATGAATTCTCACATGAAAAATCAAAAAGGAAAGTTATGTTAACTATATATACAAAGATATTAGCATTAGATGAGCTTATAATAAACCTTGTCTTGAAGCTGAATTTTGTACAGTTTCTAAAGCTTATGTTTGGGTCTCCATTTTTTCACTCCACTCGTCATGAGTATGTCACATTAACCTCGAGCTTCAATTAAAGAGGATAGAAAGCAAGCAGCTAACTTCAGGTATATGCACACTTACCATCTTTTGCTGATTTTGTAACAAGCACCCCACAGTCAATAACTCGTACATCTGCATAGGGTCTACTTGCAGTATCAGTTTTCAGATTTTCTATTTGTTCTATTACTTCAAAACCAGAAATAACCAGTCCAAAGACAACATGTACACTGCAGAAAAGATTTGGAAAATATAAACGTTTACATAGAGCTGTAATTCTTTTCCAGTGAATTCTTCAGATTAAAAAAAGTCACTCTGAAATAGAAACATTCAACTTCACTGGCATCATCTGCCTCTTAAAATATACTAAACTTTTCAAAATAAGATTTTGTTTTTAATCAGTTTTAAATTTACAAAAACGTTAGGATTTCACGCACTAGGAAACAAAGGTCCTCTCCGGTTCAGTTTTAGAGAAATATTTGCTGATGTCACTCTACTTTTCTAGACAGATAGTGTAAACAGGTCATCTAATCCATCTCTCTATTTTTGAAGTTTTGTGCAAGAGAGATCTGGGA